CACCTTCTAGGGTCATGATAGATGACACGTTCCTACAACGTTTCTTAATGAAATATTTCGGTTAGGACAACAATTCTCGGAGAATTGGTCTGACATGAAGGTCTTTCACCCTTCGGGTCACCGGTTTAGCCGCATCTCTATCTATTGGAAGAAACTTGCTCGTGTTTTATGTTCCTAAAGTCCTAAGGTGCACCACTCGGAAATAAAGGACAATTTCTCGCGTAACTGTCAGTCTTACCGTTTGTCAAAGTTTCACAAATACTCACGAAAATTATTATTTCAAAATAGGCAGATTGTACAATTTTTTGTAAGCTGATTTTACAAAACTGTTTATTTGTCAACATAATTTGATAGCAAGCATTGAAATGATGGAATTGCTGTTGTTTTCACTTCCCACGTCTGCTGGCGAGGAAGTATTGTAATCACGAAACATTTCGAAAATGAATTATGTTTTGCATGACATGTATCAGAGATTCCCTACATATTAGTCCTAATAACAGAAAAAATATACTCAACAGACAGGTCGTGTACCTATCGGCCGCGGCTGCCGCTCCCGGTGGCTGGCCGCCGGCCTTGGTGAGTGTTCTGTTGTTCTGATATGGTATTACACGTATTACTGCCGTGCCACAGCATAGTGTTTCCTATGCTCTGACCGCGTTGCCACGTCTGACCCGGTTAAGTATCAGGGAGAGGCGACCGGTGGGGCAGGGAATAGTGTGTATGAACTGGTTGTATGGACCTGTTTGACTTTTTTCTCCGAAGGTTTAGTTTGCGCTGAACATGATCCTTTATGAACTGATGACGACATCGCGTGGGAATTGCAGAGTCAACCTACTTTTTTTAAATAACAAAATGCAGTGGACGTTGAGCAATAAATCGGTTATCATTTGTATTAGTTTCCTCATTTAATAAATAGTACATGTTATTGGATGGTAATGGTCATGAAAACAACGCATAAATTCAACTGCCGTTGGCTACAAGAAATAAGAGAAACGCTCGAGCAAGCACAACTTCCAAAGGAAAAATATACTTCATTTATACGAGTATTTTGTAAAAAATCTCTTTGGTCAGATAATTTCGATGCAAACCATGCGTATTTTCATTTTCTAACAAATGTTTGCTGATAACTGATACTGATGACGGATTAATGAACCACAAAATGAGATTTAGCGCTTTTGTGCTAAATCTGAACAGTTCTGAATTTTTAAATAAAATTTTTGATTTGTCTGCGAAAGTATACATCGGATTGTTGCCAAATTGCAGTGCATTTCGGAGGAATAATTTTTACAGTACACGTTGTCAATCCTTGCATTCAAGCATTTTTTAAACTGTGGCAGATGGTGAGACTGAGCCTTTCAGGATAAATGTCTATTTTCAACTTCCAAAACTAATCAGCACATAAAGCTGCGGCAAAGTCGGTTACCCGAAGGGTTAAGTTTTCCTTGTGATAACTACAGTCGGCACATTCACCACTTCTTCAAATTGGACAAACTGTTTCTCAGAAATTAATCATAGGATTGCTTTGCTCTCACGGGAGTGTTTGTTCAGGAAAGCAAGAAATATACTAACTTTTTAGGCAAATCGACTGGGATCCATTTTCTGTATATTATGTTATATGTGTAAGCATACGAACTACAGGCATTTCAAATACATTTTCTTCTAGAAGGTCTGTCTATGTTATACATTCCGTTCCTATGGGCAATTTTTCTCAGGGTAAGCTTCCAATGGCGTTATTTACACACAAACGGGTATAGCGGACGCTTCTAAAATCAAGTAGCGCGCTGCGTACCTAATCACAGTGTTACTGTGTTGTAGTGTTTTGATTACCTGAAAGGTCAGCAATCACTACTTGATTGATTTCTAACCATAATACTTTTATATTCATGATCATAAACGTCTTAAGATAAAGATGCTGAGCTTTTTACCTTCATAATTATGACTTTACTATTTTTGTTATTGAATATCCACAGGTGGAAAGCCTGCAGTTTCTGGGGGTTGTTGTGGGGCTTTTAGAGCCGAATTGCCGGGTTTAGGTAGTTAGTTAGTTTAAATGGTTTTATTTTAATAAAAGTTGGTGAATGTATTTATCTTACTGTAAATAACAAGTGAAAAAATTTTCAGCCTTATCAGTTGGACATTCCGATTTTTATACTGCTTTTTTTTTAATTCACTAACGCTCTAAAAATGAATATTTCAGCCGCAGTAAAGAATCAACGTTGGCGGATTTTGGTTCTTGACATCCTTTACGATCGGTTACGATGCCTAGAGTACGGAGACCTGTACGATTTCGTCAACTTAGTGAGTTTGATAGGGGCCGTATAGTGGGACTTCGGGAAGCTGGACTTTCTTTTCGGGCAATTGCAGTTAGAGTGCAAAGAAGTGTAGACACTGTGGTTAGCTGTTGTCAGGCATGGCTTCGAGAAGGCCGTACGCAAAGAGCAAGGGGCACTGGACGCCGCCGTAGAACAACAGACCGTGAAGATCGCCGCCTAAGATTATTGGCCTTAAGGTACCGTTTCTCCACTACCAGGTCCATTGCAAATGAATGGTTTGCAGAACACGGAAGACCTATTGGCATGCGAAGTGTTTACCGATGAATGAGAAGTTTTGGCTTGTTTTCATACCGGCCACACTGGGTCCTCCCTTTAACTTGAGAACACCGACGTAATCGCCTTGAGTGGTGCAGACAACGGTCACTCTGGGATCAGGAATGGAACAGTATTGTCTTTAGTGACGAGTCTCGATTTTGTTTAGGCATGCACGATGGTCGTGCCAGGGTTAGAAGGCGACGTGGTGAATGGAGGAATCCACAGTTTTTTGTTGAAAGACATGTTCATTCCACTGTTGGAGTTATGGTTTGGGGTGCTATAGCTTATGGTTCCAGGTCACCTTTAATCTTCATCAGAGGTAACATGAACGCGCAGCGTTATATCCACGAAGTTCTAGAACCCCATCTTTTACCCTATCTTGACACCCTGGCAGATCCAACTTTCCAACAAGATAATGCCCGACCGCATGTTGCAAGAGTCACAATAGACTTCTTTCAACATAACGATGTCACATTGTTACCATGGCCACCAAGATCTCCCGGCTTATCCCCAATTGAGCACGTGTGGGATATGATGGGTAGGAGATTGCTCAATTTGCAACGTCCTCCTCAGACTCTAGAAGCACTTCGAGAGGAGTTGGTGGTTGCCTGGAATGAGATACCACAGGAGGACATTGACCACCTGATCAGAAGCATGCCTAGGCGCGTTAGAGAATGCGTAGCACATCAGGGTGCATCCACACATTATTAAAGGTCAAAGGGCTTTAAAGCAGTGCAATCATTTTGAAATTTTTATCATTCACTTATTATGCTTCATTAAGTATTTAGACAAAATTTTATTAAAATAAAACCATTTAAACTGGGTGTTCGGATTTATATGTCACTTAGTATATGCCAGGATGTGTGCAAGGGTAGTTAGGGGTAACGCCGGAGCTTTTGGGTATTGACACGGCAACGTAACATACCTGTTTATGGACTGCTTTTTGCAACAATCCTTAAACTCAGCATATTTATCCGGAAACCTAGCGACCAAATAGTCAGTCTGTGCGACGACACCTAGTCTGTCTGTGTAACGACTCAATGATCAGTTGTGTGTGTGTGTGTGGCGATCCATGGATCTGTCTCTGTGACGGCTATGATTCAGTCTGTGTGATGAATCCTTATTAGTAATCTGGGCACAACTAATATAATGGTAACTAGTAGAATTGTGCATGTCATATCATGAGTCAGCCATTCGATGGGAGGCACTCATAAGTCTTTTTCCCAAAAATACGTGTTGGTCCCGATTAGTGTTGCCAGGTGTCCCGATTTGCGCGGGACGTCTCGATTTTCAGGAGTCTGGAGACGCGTCCTGATTTGCACTTAATCGGGACGCTAAATGTTCCGATAAATCAATCAGTTCATTGAAAACGATCATTATTACCAAGATAAACTAATCGTGCATAACATCACTAGTGCTATACACAAAACATGCTCTTACGGTTGGTATAGGATTATCGCCTGTAGCGCCTACGCGCTTGCGTATCTCATGCACATTCAAACATAACGTTCGCTTTTGTAATGAATATAGTTCATTTTTAAAGAACGGCCAAATGGGCACTTACGAAGAAAAAATAGTAGCCGTGGAAGTCACAAAAACGTACCTCTCAGTTAAGCATAGCCTATCATTTAATTCTCTCGAATGTGATATAAAACTAGATCATACTTTGTATGGTGATTCAAAAATTGCCGAAACACACTTTTAGGTCCAGCCTCGACTCAAGAGGCAATTGAAATTTTGCATAATGATACATTTTATAGTATTGCTATTGATGACTCCAATCACGGTGCCACAAAAATGTTTCCGCTGATGGTGACATTTTACAGCCCCACACTACAAATTTACTTGACTTATATGAAGACGCAAATGAAACTGCATCAGCCATCCATATGAATTTAGTAACACGACTAGAAGAGCGCAATATTGATCCTAAGTACCTTACTAGTTACTGTGCAGATAATGCAAATGTCAACCTTTGCATCGCGATAATGGCAGTATTTTATCAGTAGGATGTCCTGCGCACATCTTGCACAACAATGTGAAGTATGGCCTGAGCTGTCAGTTTGACTTTGAAAACTTCATTCTGAAGCTGCATAACCATCTCTCCTTCCAGGCAAAACGAGTTGACGCTTTAAAAGGCTTTTATAAGATGCATGAAGCTGAATTTGCTCCCGTCTTGAGACATATTAGAACCCTGCCGTGGAACGTTCTACCAATCCTTCAATATACTGAAAGATTACTTTATATCATTTGGAGAAGACGAATGTCCAACTGCGCTGTGGCAATACTTTAATTCTGAGGAAGCGGAGCATTATCTGGCATTTTACTTAAATGCAGTGAAAGTCTTGCAAGATGCAGTAGAAGTAGTGCCTTGAAAAGGATACATTGCTGTGTTTCGAAGGCCACGAGATAATGGTTGAACTCAGTAAAAAAATAAGACAGAGGATTCAAGATGAATTTGTGGGCTTCACGTACAGCAACTTACTGAAAAAGTTACCAGATAATAAAGTTAAAAAAGTAAAAAAAGACTGTTGTGCGTGGTACAAAAATGTTTTACACTACATATAAACCAAATATGAGCCCAATGATAGTAGATTGGACCTATTGAAACCAGTTTATCTTCAGGACAACTCGTTCACTTACGCATTAATAGTTAAAATTATTGAAAATTCCAAAATTGATACGTTCTTTCACATAGATCAACTTTATGAAGAAGTCTATAAAGTCAAAGAAGTAGTGAAGACAAGGATTTAACACCGCTACAAAAATGGCATAACATTTTTAAGGACAACCAAGACATTGCTAACCTTCAAAAGCTATTTTCTTTTATGGCTTCAATACCTGTATCAAACGCAACAACGGAAGGGCTGTTTTCTCAGGTCAACTTAATTTGGTCTGAGAGGCGAAACCGATTGACACTTGCGCATGTTAATGCCGAAATTCAAATTAAATCCAACTTTAATATGACATGTAGTGAGTTTTATACTATGATATAAAAAACAAGGCCATCCTTAAGGCAGCAATATGTAACGAAACATAGTTTTATTAAAAATTAAATTATTTAAACTTATAAACCGTGTTAATATCAATTATTAATAAATAATACCTTGTTTTTTGTTTGTCCCGACCTACAACCCTAAATCCGGATTTGATTTAACTTCCATCCCGATTTGAAACACATCGGACCTGGCAACACTAGTCCTGATAGTCAAGTCCTATCGCCCTTATCGCTTGTTGTCGTTCGTCACCAAGTAAGTGGCTTTTATATTATCCTGACATTGTTCCCGATATCGCATTGTTTACATACTGCCCTTGTAACAAAATATAATGGTACAGGTTGGTACTTCGGAATTTACTAAGGCGGGTTTCGTCGTTTTCACGTTTATCGTTCTACCATCGTCTTACATATTATGTTTTGTGTAGGTTCATTTCAAATCGATACTATCATCATTAACACAATTAACAATTAACACCCTGTATTTCTGTAAGGGCGCATTCTGTGATCCACGTTCATGTGAAGTTTAAGTGATATTTTTACCTCTCTGTTTTCTTAATTGTATTTTTGCTGCGTGGGAATGGGTGTTTGTTCTAACCCTGTATATGAATGCGAAAGCGACGGAGTAATCGTATTAAGAGAAATCAATCGATTATGAGAGGTTATGGCAAATAATAAAGGTACAGCGATCGACAAAAACGATAAATTGTTGTTTGCGGCCAAAGGCTGTCTAAAGAGAAAGTACCAGCATCGACTCGGCTGCCTGTCCGTTTGAAAAAGCTGCTTCAGACACACTTTACGCCACATTAGGCATTTATCAAAAGGTTATAATAAAGCAGCAGCTAACAAATTTCCCTTTCATGTTCAATCGACTGGAAACTGTTCAAAATCGACAAACTTGGTTCACATGAACTTGATAGAAACTTACCTAAATCAAATATGCATACAGACGGAAATAATCTTGGAATATTTGGAAAGTTGCATGGTGTACATAGTCATGCCATAAGTTCTGTCCCTCGTTTTCAAACAAGTGTAGACCTGTTAATACTTGTCCGATTGTTTACATTGTGGTGTCAGTTGATTAAGCGCTTTTCGGGTAATTACATATACCTCAGTTTGTATTGATCTCTCGAAGCATAACGATGGAGTGGGGCAAGGCAGAGAACCGTATTGCAGTGATAGCTTTACATAAGTGTAATCACAGTGCTAGTCAGATTTTTGAACTCTTACGCGGCCTTCAAATATCGCGTAAATTTGTGTCTAGGACCATTCAGCGGTACAATGAGACGTCCTCTGTTGATGACAGGCCAAGAAGCGGAAGACCTCGTCAAGTAAGGACTCCAGCAGCCATCAAAGCCGTAAAAGCCAGGATTCAAAGGAATCCACTCCGGAAGCAGAAGATCCTATCCAGGGAAATGAAGATTCCTGTCCGGACGATGTCGCGCATCATTAAACAAGACCTAGGGCTAGGGGCTTACCGGAGACGTACGGGCCAGCGACTTACGGCCACCTTGCGACACATCAGGGCGACAAGATCCAAGAAGCTCTTGGAGAGGTACGCAGCTGGGGGATTCCGAAAGATTTTGTTCACGGATAAGAAAATCTTCACCATAGAAGAAAAATTCAACCGACAAAATGACAAAGTGTATGCAAGGAGTTCACAGGAAGCTTCGGAGATCATTCCGAGAGTTGAGAGAGGCCACCACCCTGCGTCAGTCATGGTTTGGTGGGGGGTGTCCTACGAAGGGGTCACTCAGCTCCATTTCTGTAAACAGGGCGTGAAAACAAAAGCGGCAAACTATCAGAGCGACATACTGGATCCTATCGTCAAGCCTTTAAGTGGTACATTGTTTGCCAACCAACACTGGGTCTACCAGCAGGATTCCGCCCCCGCTCACAAGGCTAAGAGTACGCAGCGCTGGCTGGAAAGCAATGTGCCAGAGTTCATTGCTGCGGAAGATTGGCCCTCAGGGAGTCCGGACCTCAATCCTTTAGACTACAAGTTGTGGGACCTGCTAGAGCAGTTGGCCTGCTCCAAAGCCCACCGTAATATCGAGTCCCTGAAAGCGGATTTGATCCGATCAGCGGCAGCTATTCCTTTGGAAGCTGTGCGTGCAGTGATAGATGAGTGGCCCGCGAGATTGAAGCAGTGTGTGAAGGCCAAGGGGGGACATTTTGAATAAAACTGTTTGATTATGAATTCTAAAAATGTTGTCGAATAAATAATATCTTTCATATAAATATATCTTATCTTGTTTCATTTTTATCATGAGATTATCATGGGACAGAACTTATGGCACGACTATGTATAGTCTATTGCAGTAGAGTGGTAAATGTCGATTCTCTATAGATTCAAATATAAAAATAAAACAGTAGCAAGCTGTTAATAGTATCAGTACCGGATTGCCATTTGGCGTTTGCGAGTACCTCCACCTGCAACAGTATAAAGCAGTGGTCTCCAACCTTTCTAGTGTGTTGAGCTGCTTTGTTAATTTTGGAATACAGTGAGCTACCTCGTAAGCAATGTAAGCCAACTTGTAATTGTACACAGTTGTATGCGACATACATGTGCTTATTTTACTACTAATAAACTTAAATAAACCAATACATACATAACTACATCCGTTCCTACCAATCGTAGGTGTTTGAAAAATAAACAAAATTTTTCGTCCGCTACAATGGCATTTAATAAAGGTAACTAAAAATAATAAAACCAGCGCACTATTTTAAACAAAAACATGTCCAGATAAAAAATGCGCGTTCAATGAGAAGCCTGACACTCAGACTCACTGACAATTTTTTTAATGTTTGGAGTATAATGTGTTCCCGGCATTGGAATACAAATATTCAAATGTTCATCTGTAAGTCGATTACGGTATTTGTTTTTAATAAACTTCATAGTTGAAAAAGAAGATTCACACAAATAAGTTGAATTAAATAACGCTTTCACTTTCAAGACAACATGACATAAATCAATCACTTTCCATGTCTTCACTAAAATTCTGCGTAACAGAAGTTGCAAACTGTTGGATATCAATTTCCATGAAGGGTGAAACAATAAATTGCGCCACTATAGCATATTCGGTGAAATCCGTGAAACGATTATCCTTCAAGCTAGAGACGATTTCCACATAATATTTACTGTCATATGGTTCTGATGGACTTTGAGATATCTTTTCTCAAAAGACAGGAAAATGCCTGGTATCGCCATCGCTTAAGTTTTGTTCCCAAAACTCAAGCTTTTTGATAATCGCTTTTATATCAGAAATCATTTCTGCTACTTCTTTGTCTCTCTCCTGAAGCTGCAAATTAAGTTCATTCAATTTTTCTGTAATATCCACAAGAAAACCAAAATCTCTAAGCCAGATTGAATTTTCCAGTTCCGGAATCGGTTCATTGTTCGAAAAATTGAACTATGGCAGATATGATATCATTAAAACGTTTCAGCACTCATCCCCTACTTAACCAAGTGAGTGAAGAAGTAGTTCTTCGTATTGACAGTCAATTTCATCGGCCAAGGGTTTGAATAATCTTCTTTGTAACGCTTGAGCGCTAATCTTGTTCTCAATTTTTACTACCAATTTCATAACGTTGTTCAGTTTTAGATGTCCACATAATGTTTGCTGATGGATGATGCAGCAGTAACAGAGAAATTGCGGAAAACTTTCATCTTTACGACATAACCCCACAAGACCCTTACCACGAACTACCATAGCTGGAGCGCCATCGGTTGTCAAGCATACCATTTTCGATATTGGAATTTTCTCAGAAGAAATATTATTTTTAAAAGAAGGAAACAAGTCCTGCCCAGTAGCCTGTCCTTTTAGTGGAATAAACTTCAAAATATCTTCAATCGTAAAATCACTAAAAATCATCCTGACGAACACGGCCAGCAAATAACGAATCTGCAGCTTCTGAAAACGTTTGTTTTATCATTTCCCCGTCTTCATAAGGTTTCTTCTTTTGTCTAATTATCTGGGACACCCGGTGTGATGCTTCAGTTGCAGCCTAACTTTTGTAGATTGCTCTTAAAAACATTGTCGGTTGTCTAGTTAACTGATTTTTTAATTGTTTCAATTTTTCAGCTCTGGTTTCAGAACGTAATGGGAATGATTTTTCAAAATTCGAATGTACAGATATTCCCATTTTTCGCAACGGGAACAGATGTATTACATGACAAACATACATTTTCACCTTTAACTTCTGTAAAGAAATATTGTTCTTCCCATTCCGAATGGAAATGGTATGTATTCATCGTCTTACTACTGCTCATAATGTTTTTAATTGCAGGACAACTCTAATCGAACCGCTGGGCTTTGTGCAGTTCAGTTTTAAACTGCGCGCACTGTCGCCACGCCTTGCTTATTTATTTCGTACTAAGTAATCGAGATCGTTCTCGAACAGATCGCTCACCGCAGCGTTGCCGTTGCTTGTGTTTAGTATGAGAATTTGCAAAATTTACGGAAGCTTCTATGATTTTTACACCTTTTTAAAATATGTTGTGAGCCACCACAATTGCCTT